CCCCGCCGGGCTGGGGCGCGGCGCAGAGCCCGAGACCCGGCCGAGCCGGGCCTGGCGCGCGCTCTCCACGCTCGGCCTGGCTGCCCGCCAGCCTCTGGAGCCTCCCTGCAAACCGAGAGCCCATTCGGGTTCCATTGTCGGCCCAGCGGACCGATCGTGGGCGCCCGCCGGGTGCCCGTGCCGGGTCCAGGCGGAGGGCGCGTTTGCTCCCTGCCCTCGTGGAGCTTGAGGTTCCAGGAGCGGGTGAGTGAAGGCGAGAGAAAAGGAGCTCAGGTCTGCAGCCTCCAAATTCTTCCTCTTTTGAGAGTCGCAGTGAATGGGAGAGATGGCCTTGAAGTCCCGGGTTCTAGTCCCGCCTCTTCTCACTCCTTTACATCTACTAGCTCCGAGACCTTGGGTGAGAAGTCTCCTGACCTCTGAGTCTCAGTGTTTTCATTCCTAAAGGTGGGGAAGATAAGAGCTGAAGCCCAGAGCCTCATCTGTCACATAGGTGGTTGTGAAGGTCCCACGAGACGATGATTGGGGGGGAGTCTGGAGACGATGTGAGCTCATGTAATGCCAGTGTTTTTTCCTGCTTCTTGGACTCCAATACCACTTTCTGGGAACCTGCCGCCCCCCCCCCCCCACACACACATATGCGCACTTCTGACCTTCCAGAAGGAAGATTATCTAGAATAGACTCTGAGGAAAGAAGGGGACCATACTGCTAGAGTCGCCGTAATCCGTGACTCATATGCTGCTCCCCACAAAGTAAAATTGCTCCCTAGTACCGGCGGATTGCGGCAGGGTGGAGCTACACCGGGAAGCGCAGTTTCTCCAGGAATAACAGCCGAAAGTTTATTTCAAAGCTCCGGAAGGAATAAGGCTGGTTTCCAACACCTTCCTGTTGGAGACCAGAGGTCACCGTGCATGGATATTGGCCAGATGGAGGGAGGAGATGCAGGGCTGGCGCAATTCTTCAACACGGAGAAGTGGCGTTCGGGAAGACAATGTCGGCCATAGGACCAGCTGCGGGGCAAAAATCTCCACCACTGAAACAGCAAGAGCTGGGCAGAGGGAATGCCAACTCAGAGATGGATCGCCACCAGCAGGTTCTTCTGCTCTGTGCTGCAGTACTGGACCTCATTGTTGATGAGGGAGCCACCTGGTCCTCTATCTCCCAGAGCTGGGAGAAGCTAGTGGAGCTCTTCTCAGAAAAACACATTTATGGAGGAAGAGTTCATATCAGAGAGAATGGAGCAGAGAGTTAAAAGTCTCCCTCAAGAGTGGGCTGGGCAGGCTGGCCCCCTGGCTTAGCGGTTGAGTGCACGCGCTCCACTGCTGGCAGCCGTGGTTGGGATCCAGGAGCACACCAACGCACCGCTTCTCTGGCCATGCTGAGGCAGCTTCCCACATACAGCAGCTAGCAGGATGTGCAACTACCACATACGGCTATCTGCTGGGGCTTTGGGGAGAAAAAGGGAAAAAAGAGGAGGATTGGCAATTAAAAAAAAAAAAAGTGGGGTGGGCTTGAGAAGGGCATTGAGAATCTAGACTGGCTACTGCCTGGAAATCTCTAGTGGCAAAATCAGGAAAAACTGTTAATTCCGTATTAGAGAATCAGAAGTCTAAGTATTAGAGATTCTTTTCCTAAAATTTAGCGCAAATTGCTGCCTCTCCTTGTAACTGCCAATCATGCATCAAAGTCCTGCCCTCTTGAGTCACATAGAACTCATCAAACAGTACCTCTGGGTTTCCTGGAAATTTCTCTAGAGTTAGAGCTGGTTATAAATCCCAAATCCATAATGAAGAAGCTGTGAGCTTGCTCTCTAATCTGTCTGAACCTTAGTTTCTCATGTAAAATTCAGTGAATAATGGGACCCACCTAGCAAGTGAGTTGTCAACATTAAACGAGAAGCAGGTCAAAGCTTAGCATCGTCCCTAAAGATTTGTATTTCTCAGGAGCCCAAATTCAGTGAGATAGGTGCTTCATGGAGGGCCTGGAAATGGGGTGTTTCTGGCCCTGGAAAAGGGCCAAGCAGGGATAGAAACCACTCGTGTAGAAACTCTTGAAGTGTTGTCCCCTAAAAGTCTTTTGATGCAGAAAGGATTCACCCTGAAACATTATTTCTGGATGTTCAGCCAGTGCACATTTCCTGCACTTATGGCTGCCCTTCATGTCTTCCCCATCTCCAGCCTAGTTTGCCTAAAACATTTTTCAGTGTTCCATGGATCACTTCTGTCATAGGTTGAATTATGTCCCCTCAAAATATATGTTAAAGCCCTAATCCCCAGTGAATGTGAATTTGAATTCATACCTGTGAATGTGAACTTATTTGGAAACAGGGTCTTTGCAGATCATAAAGATGAGGTCATTACGTGGGCCCTAATCCAATATGGTTGGTGTCCTTAAAAGAAGAGAAGAGATTCAGAGGAGAATGCCATGTGAAGACAGAGACACGGAGAAAATGGCTGTGTGAAGACAAAGGTCAAGATTGGAGTTAGGCTGCCACGAGCCACGGAATGAACGAACACCTGGGGCCATCAGAGGCTGGAAAAGGCAAGAAAGGATCCTCCCCTATAGTTTTCCCAGGGAGCATGGCCCTGCTCACACCTTGATTTCAGCCATCTAGCCTCCAGAACTGTGAGACAAGAAATTTCTGTTAGAACAGCCTGAAGAAACTAATACAAGCTCCTAGATGTGATTGCCTAACATATGAGAGAGAAGAGGGAAGACATGTGAATAAAACCAGTCATTGAGTGTAAGGGCTGGACTGACGTTCATTTACCTACTTGTTCATTCAAAAAACACTGAATGCCTATTTAGTGCAGGCACAGACTGGCTGCTGAGGATAGAGTAAGGAACAAGATAAGGTTCTGCTCTCAGGGAGCATTCATTTAGTTGGGGATTGTAGACCTCCCACAATTAAAGGAATATAGAATTAATATTAGGGAGTGCTAGAGACCAGGGAGAAAATAAGACTGGGTAGTGTGGTGTGGAAGGAAGTGCAAAGCAAGAGAAACAATGCTCTGAAAAGCTCAATGAAGGGGACTTTGAAGATGAGCCAGGTCTCTATCAGCCAGGTCAGGAGCTGGGAGCTAGTGCGTGTGTTGGAAGGGGGGCGGGGGATGTCGTTGTCATTGTTAGTGCAGTGGTCGATTCCGACTCCTAGTGACCCTGTGTAGCCAGAGCGGAACCCTGCACCGTCTTTTCGAGCCATCCTCTCACCTCCCCACGCTGTATCAGACAATGCTCCGCTGCTATTCACAGGGTTTCCATGGCCAATTTTTCTGGAAGTGGGTGGCCAGGTCCTTCTTCCTAGCCTGTCTTAGTCTGGAAGTTCTGCTGAAAGCTGTCCACCATGGGTGATCTTGCTGGTATTTGAAATCCCGGTGGCACAGTTTTCAGCATCATAGCAACACACAGCTGCCACAGCGTGACAACCAACAGACGGGTGGTGTGGTTCCCTGACCTGACAGAACCGGGCCACTGCAGTGAGACTGCCGAATCTTGAACACTAGGGCGGCTGGGGTGGGGGTGGGGATGCAAAGACATATAAATCTCAGGCACTGCAAGACTATGCATAAACAGGAGACCCAAGAAAGTGGCTGTTTTTGTTGTTTAAAAAATTTCAAAAATTTCTAGTAACTTCTTTGAGCCTTAGTTTGCTCATCTGTGAAAGAGGGATAAAGGCCTCTTTGCCCAGGGTCGCCAAGGGCGAATATGACAGCCCTGATACTCAAATTCAGGTCTCCTCCCAGCCGTGCGGTGCAGGGAGTGGAGGCTGCAGAGGCGAATTCTGATTCCATTACTCATCTGTTCCAGCTGTGTGACCTTGGGCTACTTACTGCCGGTCTCTGAGACGCTTTTCTCAACTATAAAAAGGGAGTAACTGGAGCCGTCTTTCGTGCAGGTTGTCCGGGCAGAGGAGCGCGCCTAAGGCTAAACTCAGGCCCCATCCGCCCTATGCCTCCCAGCGCCGCTGCCTCCTTCCCCAGCTTTCCAGGCTGCGCACGCCCTTCTCGGCCGCCTCTGGAGCCGCGGGACAGCGCGGTGCGGCCGGCTGGGAGCGGCGAGCGGCGCACCGGGCATGCGCGGCCGGTAGAGCCGCGGGAGGCCGCCTGGACACCGCCCCCGGGCCCCGCCCGCGAACCCCGCCGCTGCAGTACCACCGGCGGCCTGTGGCGTCGCTGCGCGGCCGGCCCTCTGGGCTCCGGCGAGTAGAGCTCTACCCGGCGCCAGCGGGAGGGATGGTGGGGGGCCGGCCTTGCGCTAACCTGGCCGCCGGGGCTGCAGCCTGGGCGTCCGTAGCCCACCGCCCACCCTCCCCTCGACCCCACTCTTGCGGGAATCGCGATGTGCT